ATAAAGCAAGATATTCCATCAGCTGGTCCCCCATACAACCAATAATCGGCCGAATCTTGCAGGATGTAGCTGACACGGTTCGCAAATTCAACGAAGAGAGCTTATGTGCTGAGACTGTAAAAGGGAGTAAAATGGGTAATTAATTCTAAGTCTGCTGAAAAACTTTTCGGTAAGGCCAGCCTCTTCACCAGTCATAATGCAGACGTGGTTGAGTCGCTAACTTTGAGAAATAAAGTCCTTTTCAGGTGTGCGACGGCAGATAGTCTTATTGCATAAATGAGTCCCCTTTATACGATCTAGCATTCGCGGACGTCGTATTTCGTATATTCGCGGCATGATAACAAACCCCCCTTCTTTGTCACTAATTATGAGAGGAAGGGTACCGTCTTTAATCATCTTACGTAACTCGTTAAAACCTTGCTTTGGGCCTAAGTCAGATTAGACTGTTTTATACTACGGTTTTAGCAACATTTAAGATTCCTTCCGCGAGTATACGAAATACGACGACCGCTTCATAACAAGGTTCAGGATCTTTGTAAGACGAAGAAAAAAGAATAGAGAATAGAGAGTAGCCTTCTTTCACTAAGAACAGGAAAAGAGTGAACTTCATTATCATGCCTGATTTTTTAAACCTTAAATGGTCTAAATCGCGGCAAAGATCCTACTTTGAAAAAATTCTGGCACAGATCTTTTGCGCTACGCTAAAGAGAGTCCTAAGCTTAGAAAGTCTATCGCGTTTGCTGATATTTGAGCACTGCTCAAAACGATTACCCTAGATGCTGATTATACTTGGCGATAGTAACAGAACGCTATAAAAATATTTTAGGATAGGATCACAGTAGGCAGATATATCTGCTAATTACAACAAACTTATCTTAAAACACTAATCATTCAATCTAGGACTAAAATGATGTCGTCTCTACGAATAACATGTCGGATCAAACCTATGGATGCAAAATTTTGGATTTCCATAGCTAATCAAACGAGCACCTTTCTCTGAGACTTCTCAAAAAAATTTCAGAAACAACATCTTTAATTCACAGCGGTATACTATCGTGGAACGAAGCAGTACTGATTAACATGATATTTTTGATTTTTTTATTTCAAATTGGAAGTAACTAAAGAAAAGCAGAATCTTCACTATTAGAAACAAGTTATAAGAAGTTGGAAATTCCTGACATTCTAAACAATTGTGATAACCGGAATTACATAAAACATCTTTCAAGGATTAAGATAAAACAAATTGTGATAGAATACCAGTAACAACGAAATTATTTACAATAAAGTGAAAAGTCAGGAAAAAAGTTAGCATTACATCTTTTGACGAGATCTGCGATCTACAGTCCACATACGTACCTCCACATAATCACAAATGTGAAAAATTACCTGCATAGACATCACATAGACCAAAGATCACAAGCAAATCGAAAACTATACGAGACCTTACATGTTATACTGATCTTTAGGTCTGAGTTTTGAATACACGTAAGAAGCAATAGTCAAAAATGTAGAGAAACAAACAGTCGCAGAAACAGCTGATCCTAGAGCCATTATATCCTTAGACATGCATATTGTAGTTGGCTTATTTGATGTAGATACTGAAAAGTTGAATAAATAATAAATATAGAGTTTTAAAAAGAAAACTCCAACCTTGAGCAGCATAATTATACAAAGTAGAATCATCTTCAACACCAACTCTTCCGGTGACTTCAATGATGCTATCGTCATCAGGAAGAGTGCTGATTCGACGACGTTGGCGAGGAGGTGTCGAACCGCATTTCTAAATTAGAACAACATTTTTTTATGCAATCAGTTTATTCAGTCGTTCAATCAAGAAACACCAGCTCATTTATTCAGTCATTCATTTGTTCATTTTCCCACTGAGCCATTTTGAGCTCATCGCTCAAATAGGAACCTCAGCTGAATTCAAGTAATTCAATATGGAATGTGGAAAAAAAACTTACATTTAATTGAAAAAGAGAGCAATTCTTTATTTAAATTAGGACAACTCTATCGTTCAAGATGGGTGACACTGACAACCGACGTATGGGAAAAACGCCGTGGCCACAATATAAATGATTCATTGCGAACGTTGAATAAAATACAAATTAAAGGACTGACTGCACTGAGAAAACAAAAAAACAATGCATTGTGGGAAAGTTGCCATGCTAAGTTTCTAGTAATGACACATAATTTGAAAA